GGCACCAAGGATATGCGCCTTTCAAGTGATTGCACAGCCTTCCGCTGCGGGGGAATCAACAAAGGCTATGCAGGAGACGTGGGGACTATGCTGCACAATGTGCATTATTATTTTAACTTTATTTTCCACAGATCAGCCGAGGCATTTGGCGCTTGCTGGTTCACAAGTCTGACTCTCTGAATCATCCCAGCCAATAGCATTGGAAGTTCGATTCAATCAGCCGAGGCATTTGGCGCTTGCTGGTTCACAAGTCTCACTCCCTGAATCATCCCAGCCAATAGCATTGGAAGTTCGATTCAATTTGGAGCGGCCGGGAGAAGGGAGTCCGGAGATCGAATATCCCAGCCAATAGCATTGGCATTTGGCGCTTGCTGGTTCACAAGTCTGGCTTTTTGACTCATCCCAGCCAATAGCATTGATTTGGCGCTTGCTGGTTCACAAGTCTGGCTTTCTGACTCATCCCAGCCAATAGCATTGGAAGTTCGGTTCAATTTGGAGCGGCTGGGAGAAGAAAGTCTGGAGATCAAAACAAGTGGGGTCGCATTGACACCACTCTGGAACTGATAAACGGGCTCGGGGCCTGTCGCTGATCTCATCGTTGACAGGGCTAATTGAATCTGCGGGAACTTTTGGTTTTGGACCACCACTTCAAACTAGGGCCACAAGCTCTGAACACGTGGACCTCGAAGCGAAGCTCATGTCGCGCTGATGTGAAACAAGTGTGCGAATACCTCGAGGTGGTGGCCGAGGCAGTACGACCTAAAACCATTGCGCTTTACGACACGGATGCACACGGATGGCCATTGGGTAATATACGCAGACGGAGCTCTTGAAGACCAAAAGGGAACGTGGGGTGCTCTTGCCCATGATCCTGTCTCTGGAAGGAAACTGGTGTTTGCGGGAAAACTCCCAGCCTGCTTGATAGGTTTCTGGTTGGAACATGTTGGAGAGCAATTGGTATGCGTGATTTCTGGTTGGAACATGGTGGAGAACAGTTGACATGCGTGATGAATCGTTGGCGTATGTTTGCTTGAGTGGCATTTGCGACACGAATTGAGGAACCGATACGATATTCCTTTTGCAAGCAAACTCCCAGCATGCTTGATAGAACCGATACCATATTCTTTTTATCGACCCCGGGTCGAGCTGCATGGCGTTGATCAAATTAAGTTCACCCTCTGGTGCCGGATTTTTGAAGGTTTCAATTTTGAGCCTGCTGGACACGGGATCACTTTTCAGTGCCCAGTGCGGAAGAGCACCTGGCGCTTCAAACCCTGCAAATATCCCGTCCAGGGTAAAAGCTGAAGAACTTTGTGACATGGTAGGGGCAACCAACTGTGGAGACGTAGCCCTGCTTGGCTACATGCTGAGTTTCTGCAAAAGGCGCCGATTTGAGGTTGAGTTGGCCGAGCTGGTGAAATTGGAGGCAGTTTGAAACAAAGCGCAAAGGCTGCGACTAGGGGGAGAAAACAAGCCTTCACTTTGTTTGCCGGAAAAGATGTGGAATACTCGAATGAGTCGCTACACGTGAACCAATGATGTGGATGCGACGTGAAAAAGCTCCATACTTGAAGCAGCAAACAGAAACGGATGATTTTCCCCCGACACGCTGTGACAAAAAGAAATGGCCGATTCGACTGAAAGCCACCATGTCTCTCGCCAGTGCATTTTTCCTCTGATGTCATGCTGTGTAGCTATTTGCGGTATTGGCATGTGTTTTCATTTGAATACGTTTGAGTCGAGTATATGAATATGGTTCAGTTTACGCGTATACCCGAGCATATAATACCACCACGCGATACGTGAGAAGCTACCTTAATCACCCACTGTATTTTATGCGCAAACCATACCCAACAACACTGGTACCAACAAGAGGGTGTTAGAAACGTAAAGGCTCAGTGCGCTGATCCTGCTGTTTCTTAGGACCCGGTGTAAGGTCTTAGACCTGAAGCGCACTTGTTGGTTCCTTCTGTGTGTTGTTAATGGTTGCGCTTTGTGGGTTGGTGGCTTTTCTGCGTGGCCGGTGCTTCTGGGCTGTCATTGCTTGGTAGGCGCCTGAACCTTTTCCCTTGGGACCCTCACCTGACCTTATCTGACACTTTTACTTTGTGTCGTGAAGGGTTCCTGAAACAAACACTGAAACAAACCATCGTGAACCGTGCGGTCGTGATTTACAAACTCTCAGTTTGTGGTGGGACCTGATGTTTGTTACAGTGAAATGGTTTGACTCTAAAATTTTTATCAACTGAAATTCCAGCATGCATGTTTTGAAATCACTGATGAATTTTATCACTCCGATTTTACCATCCCAAGAAAGGGTAGGGAGGGTGGGTGCTCAATAAAATTTTGAGCACTGACTGTAGCTGAAATTTCGCTCTCCCACCCATATGGATATCCCACCCTGGGAGAAAACAAGCCTTCACTTTGTTTGCCGGAAAAGATGTGGAATACTCGAATGAGTCGCTACACGTGAACCAATGATGTGGATGCGACGTGAAAAAGCTCCATACTTGAAGCAGCAAACAGAAACGGATGATTTTCCCCCGACACGCTGTGACAAAAAGAAATGGCCGATTCGACTGAAAGCCACCATGTCTCTCGCCAGTGCATTTTTCCTCTGATGTCATGCTGTGAATCTATTTGCGGTATTGGCATGTGTTTTCATTTGAATACGTTTGAGTCGAGTATATGAATATGGTTCAGTTTACGCGTATACCCGAGCATATAATACCACCACGCGATACGTGAGAAGCTACCTTAATCACCCACTGTATTTTATGCGCAAACCATACCCAACAACACTGGTACCAACAAGAGGGTGTTAGAAACATTGCAATACCCAACCGCCGAGCACTACCAAACGCTAATGACTGCGCTATATGAAAAAGATGTCATTGACCTTCTATACCTTTTAGGCCAAGGAATTGACCTTACGTGGAGTGTTCCAGATGGTGGACACACCAGCTCACTGCTCACACTGGCAATCTTCCGAGACAACGACAGTGACACATATAAGTTTCAAGCCTCCAAGGACTTGTATTTCCCTCAGCCTGGGGTCGGCCTTACGTATTTGCTCTTGCAATCGTTGGCTAACCCCAACATCATCCCGCCAAAGCAGCAGCCGACTACTATGTTGGAACTGGCAGTTGAGCTCGGTAACTCACACCTAGTCCAGTTACTCCTAGAAGAAAGCGCAATGGCACACCCCGAAGGTGACGCAGTGCCGCCTTTGATGACGGCCGTTTTGCACCGACACAGGAAAAATGTGCAATTGCTACTGGATGCGAGGGCAGACCCGTGGAGGACTACACCCATCGTCTCGCTGTGTGACCATCCATGGTACTGGTTTGGCTTCCTGTCACGCCATGAATCTGTCAACGCGGTACAAGTATCTTTTGTCCAAGGTTCGGAGGATACAGTGGCTGATCTCCTCCCCAATAAGACTCCGATCCAACAAAGCGCAGGCGGGACTGCACACCCAATTTGTGATGACACTGCCATGACGGACCACGCGAAGATCCTCCTAGGCAACCTAGTCCAGAAGTATTACAGTACCAGGCCTCATCTAATGAGAGGATGCTATACGACGCACCGATGGCGACGTGTTTTGGAAGGCCTCTACCTACCTGTTCGAATCAGAGAAGAGCTTCGTCGCCCTGCTGGGTTGGCCCGGCCTGGAACACTTCTGGATCAGTTAGATTAAAGCCAACTCCCATAATGCCTGGAGCGCGGATTAACAAAGGAGTGAGCACCAGCTGTCAATGGACGCACTGTTTCTCACTCATTTGAGTTTTTTGATTTGTTTCGTCTCTTTACTTTCTTGAACCTTTCCAGCAGCACGTTACCATCTCTCACGAGTGTTGTCGCTTGTGTCTGTCTTTGCTTGTTATAAGGTATACCTACTGTGAGGAACTCGGATAGGACGACTTAACCAAGGCTAAAATCATGGGATTACACCAGAAGCCGAGGTTCCTTGAGTCAAGCTACACAAATGGAGGTGTCCCCTGGCCACCCTAGGCACGTTTGACTGACCCATCAAAAGCTATCTACTGGAGTATGTAACACGCATCTACATACTTAGTGGTCTGACCGGTGAAGGTTCATTTATATTGTGCCTGAGTGTCGTTGACCGTTATGGCTCAAGTTAGATAGTAGAGGTGTATCCCTTTGCCCTGGACCAGAGTTCACCCTGGCACAGTATTCTGGCAACTGTCCCTTGCTTCCTTCAGTCTGCTGCTAGGGGTGCTTCGCTGGTGCTGGGTGCCTCTTTGGCTGTATCATCCTCTCCCTGCCTACTGCACCGGCTCTTTCCTCTCTTACTGGGTTACTTGTAGGTACCTGACTTTTCTGGCCGTAGACTGGCTCAGGACTGTCAGTGCCTCACCCCTCTTCTTGGTGTTGCTTGTGTGGTTCGTTTGTCTCTCTTCCCGCTTTCCTGGCTCCTTTTTCTCGGGTTTCTCCCCTATCTGGCATTGGGCCTGTGTTGGGCGTTCGTGCCCCCTCTTCCCTTCCCCCTCGTTTCCTCCTTTTCTTGGTGCTTTCCTTATCGGTCTGTTTGCCTCCGGGACTATTGGCTTGCCCTACTTTGCTAGCTGTTTCTGTGTACCTGTGATCTTCCTTGTCATCTGTCATTTTTGGTTGTTTTGTACCCTTGGGTTTGGTGCCTGGTCTTTCTGGCCGTAGACTGGTCCAGGATTTCCAGCATCGTCCCTTCCTTTCCTCTTGATTGTTTGTGTTTTTGGCTCGGCACTTGCCATCTGGGTCCATTATCGTAGAGTATTATATCCCCCGTAAAGACTCCAGTGTGGTACTTCTGGCCGTAGACTGGTCAGGGGTATCTGCAGGTAGCTGATTCCAGAGCACCAATTCCCAAAAGTCCAAATGCAAGTGAGTTGCAAAACGTACTGCTCGTCGTAAAAGGATGGATGTCTTCTAATGAATTGGATATGTATTGAATGGGTCACCTCTCTGACCAAAACACACGCAAGGCAAACTCGATGCCTTTTCACTCCATAGCCAAGCGTCAGGCTATCACAAGAGGGCCCTCTATGAGATTGGGCCAAGCAGCAACATGAGAAAACTCAACAACTGTACCTGGCAAGTCGGTCATGAATTGAAACAACTGCATTACCACAAAATTCTTGTGAGTTCTTCTCATGGAGCCCCTGCATTTGCTGAATTGGAGTGCCTTTGCTGGCATTCTCCTTTCTGGAGGACTGGACAAAATTTGGATCGAATTTCAGCATCCAGACTCGTCGTTGGAAAAAGTATTCCATAGACTTTCTACATTCTGCCTTCTTCTTCGTCATACAGTCAGCAAGGTTCCAATCACTTGCCAGCCACATCAGTTTGGTCAAACAACGTGGTAAAAACTCCTTGAGTTGAAAAGCTTGAATGGCTGCCCTAGTGTTGGAAAGGCCTAGCATGGGACTTTCGTTCACCATGATACTGTCGTATCCTCCCTTGCTGTCAGTTCCTAAGAGGCCTGGCACCAAACAAACTTCAGCTTCAGATGCGTCAAGCATGTCAGCTCGGGTGCCAGTGCCAACTGTACCGGCTGAATTAATGGAGGCCCACAACATCCTAGTCCTAAAAAGAACATCTTCGGTCTCTACAAGGGACTGCACTTCGGCATCATTCGTGCCGATGCTGACACGTTTCAGCTTCCAAGTTTTCCACGTCACAAGAATCATTGGTGCTGGTCGGCCAATTGACAAATCCCTGTTGCTAAGAAAAATCAAAAGTCCACCTGTGCTACCCCCTTTGGGTCTGTTTTGGTGGGCTTGATCTCCTAAGCCTACAATGTACACTTGGGTCCAATGATGTACTTTGGGCAAACGGAAAAATTTCAAAACGGTGCTGGATTTTCTGAGTTCCCTGATCAGCTCCTGCAGTTCTTGAGCTAGCTGCATCGTAGGCTGCTGGGAGAGCTCGGAAAGCAAAAGGTTGCAGCGAGCACATGCTAATGGTTGCGTCTGCACAGCGACCCACTGCAAGGCACCAATCGAAGCACGACAAGCTGAGATCTCCTTCGCCGTCAAAGGTGAGGATGTCATAGAAAAACGTTGAGGATCGATCTGCACATCCTCAAGCATCTCAATGTAGTATGATTGATCCACTACCAGACAGCGACCATAGTTCGGATCCGTGGTCATTGAAAGATCCGTGCCAGCATGTCGGTACTCATTCTTTTTGAGTTGCCCCCACTTGTACATCGTGTCAATGGAGGAGCGAATCTTCAGCCATCTCTCATCTTGCAAATCTCCAGCTCTATGAAAATCATCCACATGACCCGCCATAAATCCAAGGGTCTTCCATTTGAAGGATTCAGCATCTTTGGGATCATGAGGAGGAAGAGTTTTGGGATCTGCAGGAACGCGCCACAACCAAAAGCAAGGATCACCAGCAATGCGGTGAGCACCCAGTGATTTCAAAGAAACATCAATGTTCTGCCAAAGGTTGCGCGGGGCTGTGGTTGAGCCATAGAAGTCTTTGAGGATTCGCATCACGCCAGTCTCAGGAAGGTCAAGGGCTTGTCGAAGTTCTTGAACACCTGTTGTCCAAAGCTGTTTGCTCTCTTCCGTAGGCAAGGTTTGTAGGAAGGCGGTTGACAAGTCGAGACCTTCAATCTCCCAGCCTTCTTGCATCACCATTTGATAACTCAAGTTGCGAGTCAAAACAGCTTGCACAGGACTTGAAGTCTTGTAGCCCTCTGAGAGGAGATCAGGATGTTCAAAACCAAGAAGCACAATGCGCGCCTTGGCTTTCTTGCGGCCATCTGATGTCAGAGTGGTCTCATCACCCTTTTTCTGAAGTTCTTCTAGAGCTTCGGTCATGGACTCTTCAGGAGTTGGTTTCCAAGTGAGGACCCATCGACATCGCATCAATCTGCCGCTAGATCGCGCTTGTTGTTCTTCGGCATGATCAGCACAGCGACGAACTGCCTCGTTCGCTAGGAAGCTATTGACCTCTTTCAGTTTGGCTCTGCGAAAGAGTTCTCTGTGGGCTGGTGAAAGCTTCTCCAGTCGCACTTCGCAATCTCGCATCTTCTGAGCCAAAAACAAACTTGGGTTGTACACCAACTTGCGCTTCTGGCGGTCATTCTCTAAGACCATGTCAAATTCAAGGACGTAGAGCTCGTCAACCTGCTCCAGGTAGGAGAGAAGTAGAGCATCATCATCATCCGTACGTGGACGCTTTGTCTCAGGTTCAGAAGTTTGGCCATCAGTGGAGTCCAAAAGTTTGGCCTTGGATGAACCAGATCTTGCTTCCAAGGTTGGAATACCACTGCCAATGCCAGCGTTGCCGATGGCTTCATCGTCCTCATCAGGGTTCGCAGCAAAAGAAGGATCATATGCATTCACAGGTTCAGGAGGTTGTGAAGGCTCAGCAAAGGTCACCTTCTTGGGCGCATGCTTGAAGGTGTGTCGATAGGCAGGCTTGGAGAGTCTTGGCAATTGATTGGGCTCATCAGGAAGTTGAGGAAGATCTTCATCTTCTTCTTGGGGTTCTTCAGGAACAACATCGACAAAAGATCTTTGTGGTATAAAACTTGCCAGGCTCTTCCATGCCGCTGGGTTTTCACCTGAGTGGAGCTCAAAGTCCAAACGCTCCTGAGCAGTGACTTTGCGAACACTGTGAACTGAGCAACGATGCATAGTGCCACCAACCACCACCCAGACGATGTGACGCCGTGGATCTTCTGGTCGTTGGCCATTAATGGTCTCATGAAAAACCACACGGCCAGGGCCCATCCACTGTGGTCGAATGCCCTTCTTGGTGCCACCACGAGGTCCAGTTTGTTGAGAAAGCTTCCGCCAGATCTTCACCAAATCCATGGGCTGAAAAAACTTGTAGAGGTTGCCGTACCTTGGAGTTGTGCAACTTGTTCAAGGTCCTAAGGGCTCTGACCTTTCTGGCCACTTCTTCAGCTTCTCTGCGCTTCTTGAGAAGCGCGGCATAGTCCAAGCCAGGTGGATCGCTTGGGGCATAGCTCAAGCTGACGATGTCCTCATCAGTCAAAGTTGGCTGAGAACCATAGACCCACTGGAAGGGTGTATAGCCCTGGACATACTCCGTGGAATTCAAAGCATGAGTTGCTAAGGCAAGGCAAGTCGAAGGTTGAAGATCTGGGTTGTTGAGCTTGACCTTCGTGGCTACCTCCTTGATCTCTTGGTTGGCACGTCTAAAAGTCCATGTGCCCAAGATTCTTTTGGTGCTGGTGGATCCAAAGTGATGTTGAAATCTGACAAGGCCTCTCGCATCTTTCGTGAAGTCATAGACATGGCATTGTCAGGAATCAAAAACATCGGCTTGTGTTTGTCCTGAAGCCAAAGTTGTGAGAAGGCATCCAAGATCTGGTCAGTGGTTTCAGTCTTTTGTTCATTGAGGCCACATTGCATGAGAATGCGGGTGACCTTGAACTTGGTGGCAAGGTCCATGATGACCAAAACGTAGTACTTCACCTGAGATTGCAAAGGGGTCCATTCGGTGCAGTCCATCCCCACGCATTCCCAGGCTCTTGGCATTGGTCTCATGGAAGCAGGAGGCACCTTGCCACTGGATGACCCTCCCAACTTCAGAGCTGCACATTCATCACATTTCAGATCCATCGCAGCACGAACTTGCCAAGGTGCTCGGCCAGCATCTCGAAGAATGCGAGACAAGTTGTAGTTGCTGGGATGGCCAGCAGCTCGATGGTACTTCATGAGGTGGACACGCCAAAGGCTCAGTTCTTTTCCTGACGGCTCACTGGACGAGGATGATTCTGCAGGGTAAAAGTCCAACCCTGGGCATAAGTCCATTGCCGGGCAAAAATCCAGGGCCCCATCCATCAGTCCAAGTGCTTGCAATTGCTCCTCAGGTTCAACAAAAGAGGGGAGTGGAGCTTGCAAGTAGGTGAGCCATTTGTCAGGGTAGAGCTCTTGACGCCAAGTCTGAGCAATTGACTTGCAGAGTTTCCAGGGGTAGTAGGCGCTCTTCTGCGTCTCCAAGCCCTGAATGCGATCGTGTTCATGACAGCCAGGGCATGTCTTTGACCTGTAGAGGTGGTAGAAGTGAGATGATGTTGTGCCAATGGACCAGGCTTTTTGCAAGAAGCCACCTCTAGCCGATCTAAGTCCATATCGGCAGCCATCAACCCGTGCAAAATGCCAAGGCTTGCCAAGCTTTTGAAGTCGATCTTGAAGATGAAGTATCATGGGCTCTTGCCAGCCATAGCATCTTCGAGGCCATTCCCAGAACAATTCAACCGAAGGATCGTCCTCAATGATGTCCAGGATGAAGGGGATCAGCTTTTTGAACATGGCACGTTCTTGACGACGTCGCCCTTCAAGCACCTGTCGGCGTTCAACTGTGTTGTAGTTGAGTGAGGTGAAAGGACACCAGTAGGTACATCTTGTGGAAATCCATATACGCCGGGGCTTTTCAGACTTGTACTTCTCCTTCAAGAGCTCATAGGTGTTGGTCTTGTACAAGTCGTAGCCCTGCTGCAAGTTGATGCGGCTGAATCGCAACCCTTCTGTGCGGCAGGCTGCAGTGAGCCAGCTGTCAGGAGCACAGAACATCTCCCAACCATCAACCCGGTCTCCTTGAAGAAAGTCTCGAAGACCAGTCTGAGCCGCCAAAGTCATCATGCCGAGAAAGCCAAAGTGGCCTTGAGAATTCTCCATGGCAAAGGGTTTGACGAAGAAGGACTTGTAGAGGAACTTGGAACACTGCCATTACGGTCAAAAGATTCCTCCACCACATGCACTGATTTCTTTTTGTTTGGTTTTGGAGATTTTCTATTTTTCTTTGCATTGATTTTGGGATTTTCTGGAGTCGTGTTCTCGACAGGACTCATCATGAATTCAATCTCAGCTGCCATTGCCTGAGAAGTTTCGCATTGGTCCACATTGCCATAGGGCTCTTCAAAAAGCTGCTCATTGTCAATCTCATAGGCCCAAGAGAAGTTGCTCATCTTCGTAGCATCTTCGATCACAGGCTGTTGAGAAACTGGATCAGCACTCTCAGCATTCACTCCGTTTTGATCCCCGCCGATGCTGGAACCAACTCCAGTTCGGGGTCTGATTACATCATCTCCTCCTCCTTGTGGCGCTCCATCGCAATCTCCATCAACTTGGACTTCTCCTGCTCGCTCAGAAAACGCCAGACATCTGTTGGGCTCGTTGAGGATCCCTTTGGCGCTTGAGTGTCCGACTTCATCTGATCTGCATAGGTTTGCTTCAAGGTGTCCACGTGGCTCCTCAGACGCTTGAGCGTTGACTCCGTGGCCACGATCTTGCTCTCGTCGGTGATGATCTGGATCATCGTCTCGACCAAGTCCATGGTGGGGAACCTTCCACATGGCTCCAAGTCCTGGCGAAGCTGCTTCATCGCCAGCTCCACCGTCTTGTGGCAAGCTTGAGCTGCTGACTTGCCCTGGTAGCCCGCCCGTGGCACATAGCTCAGACGGACACCACAAATCTCGCACGTTCGCCACTGGCCATAGCCGTTGGATTTTGGATTGGAGGACACGTGCTTGCCGAAACAAGGCCATGACGTGGTCTGAGACCTGATGTCCCTCGGGTCCACGACAATCTCGCGGGAGTGGTCCAAAGGTGCAGGAGGCTTGCGTGACATGTGAAGCCGCGTCACCAGGAGATACTTTGGAAACTTGAAAATCACCGGCTGCATGTTTGGGATTCTTGTTCAATTGACAGCGTCGTTGCACAAAAGAATCAAAAAGAGCTTGACGACTAGTTGATGGAGTTTCACTGACATGTAAATCACCTTCAACATCACCTGATACCATCGCTAGTTCAAACCAGTCACACCCCTCCGATGGTGCTGAGTGGCAGTCCTGCTCCAGAAGTTGAGCTGCAAAGGATTCGTTGCCACCAGCCTCGGAGTCAGAGAGAGAACCGAAGAGGTAGTAGGCAATGTTCACCATATAGTGGCCCTTGAGGTTTCTTTCCATGACATAGGGGACCGCTGGGTTATCATTGCCGTTGACTGCATGACCATCGGAAAAATCCAGTATCAAACCAGTCTTCTTGAGGTGATCCATGCCAACCAAAATAGGTACCAACATGTCATCAGAAAACCATTCGCTGTTGTACTCCATGGGGTTCTCCAAAACATAGAGCTCAAAACATCGTGATGAATCCCAACTGGAATGAATAACTGCATGGTAAAGCGCTTGACCCCATTTCCCAGAACCATACCTGAAATATGGACGTTTGTTGTAGTTGAAGCAAACTTTCAAATCGGGATCAAATAGTCGAAGTTTGGAAATCAAACGTTTTGCTGATGCTTCCGGACCCGCAGATGCTGTCGCCCCACAATCCAACATGCCATACCCCGGTGGTGTTGATCTCTTGTTGTCGGTCTCATCAGTTGAAAACAGTTCCAGGGGAAAAACATGAAAGGTTTGTGGTGAATCTTCAACATCCATCATCTCCAAGGCGTAGAAATCCATGCCATAAACATTCGCTGATGGTTTGAAGTATTTGCCCTTGGGGTTCTTTCCCTTGCCCTTGTTGATCATGAAAGAGTCAGAATACCATGAACCATCATCATGCCATGCTAACATGCCATCCTTGAACTTGCCCTTGAAACCCTTTCCTTTGGATTTTCCAGCTAAATATGCATCGAGTTCAGCTTGAGACAAACTCTTACCATAGCCCTTACGAAAAGATGGGTGATGTTTGTCAGGACAATCTTTTTGAAGATGGGGACCACCGCAAAGATAACAACGAATTGGATTTGAGGATGATGAACCACTACCAGATTTTCCAAAGCCGCGGTCACGTTGCAACTGCTGTGTGGCCTGTTGGGCCTGCGACCAAGTGCGACGTGCTTCAAGGGCCAATGACTCAGCCTGTTTCTCGGCCTCCAAGGCCTCAATCAGTGCAGGATCGGTCACATCATCCACCCTCTCGTCAGAGGGACCAGGTTGCTCTCCAGTTGCTGCAGCAGCCTCCCAAGCTTCGGAAGACCAATCTTCTGATTCATTCCAATCATGCCACATTGCTTGATTGTCACTCCATGCATCGTAAGGCCAGGAACCCTCATGCCAAAAAGAGGATAGGGGTGCTGAACTCACATTTGAATGCCACTTGCCATTGCCACCCAATTGCTCGCCCCACAAGGTTTGTAAAGCCGATGAAACACTAAGGTAATCCAGCTTATTCCCTGTGGTGGCCAAAACATCACGCCACTCTTCCGGTGATAGGGATGCAGCAACAAGCAAACGCCAACCTCTCAGAACATCTAAGATGAAGGAGTCCATGGCATTCAAAGCTGGTGCAGGTTCCACTGTTCTCGCATGCGCCTCAGAGCGCCTTGATGGTGAAGCATGAACTGAAGGTCGTGCTGGAGAAGCTGGTGAACTGTCCTTCACCGGCTTCTGGATGATCTGAACCTGTCTCAGACTGTTGTGGCACCTGTTGATATCCATCAGAGGCCTGTTCATCGTCATCAGGGCCATCAGGACCCTGCCAGGAGTTCCATCGCCAGTCCCAACGCTGACGCCAGTACCAGTCATGATCCTCTTCATCAGAATCTTTGGAAATCTCTGGCAAGTCGAAGTTGCGACTTGAGGGGTCTACTCCGTCCCTTCCCTCCTTCAGTTGCAAAAGTGCCTCTTGAAACTCTTCAAATCCCAGTGTCTCACGAACCAGAAAAGTTCCGATATGTTCCTGAGGACGACGACGGAAATTGAAGTATTCGGACATGATGGCAGCAGCGTTTGGTAAACTTCTACGAACCAGAGGTGATGAGGCTAAACGTTGTAGCAACAGGGAAACTCCCCTTTCTCCATCAAACTCACGCTGCGACCAAGACATGGCTAACAGCCTTGCAGATCCTGTCAAGCGAGAAATCAGTTTGCTGGCAGCATATTTCCGCTGAGACGACTTAGTCGATCCAACATACCAACCAATCTCCTTGACATACCTTCGCCAAGTCCGCGAAGATCCATCCCAAGAGGGAATTGTTGCATCCGGCTTGTCCTTCACAGACATCAGCCACCGCAGAGCGCACCCAGGAGCAGATTGGGCTAAGGCCCAGGAGCAACTCGTGCTCCGCTACCAATGCAGGTAGCTGATTCCAGAGCACCAATTCCCAAAAGTCCAAATGCAAGTGAGTTGCAAAACGTACTGCTCGTCGTAAAAGGATGGATGTCTTCTAATGAATTGGATATGTATTGAATGGGTCACCTCTCTGACCAAAACACACGCAAGGCAAACTCGATGCCTTTTCACTCCATAGCCAAGCGTCAGGCTATCACAAGAGGGCCCTCTATGAGATTGGGCCAAGCAGCAACATGAGAAAACTCAACAACTGTACCTGGCAAGTCGGTCATGAATTGAAACAACTGCAGTATCACCTCACTGGCCCCCCCAATCAATATCAGTTCAGCACTGTCTCTGGCCGTAGACTGGTCCAGGGGCTTTGCCACCCAGCCCTATTATGGACCTCCTTACTAGGCAGCAAGCGCAACACCACTGGTTTGAAGCTGACCCCCGAGCGAAATTTGATGACCTGTTGGAAGCCTTAGGCCTTTACAAAGACATTTCGACGGAGTACGGCCTGAATCAGTCGGTGCATCAACAGTGGCGGTTTGGAGACCCCCACAAGAAGTCCGGTGACCCCGATCGGCACGATTATGAGATAAAGGTTGTGGATGGCGAGGAGGTAACTCCAGGACCAGTGTGGCACAGCCTGTATCGATGGATTATCAGCCAAGCTGATGAATTTTTAGCCTTCCAAACAGTCTACCTCATCACTGACAATCGAGATCTGTTGGCAGCGACTGTGTCCAGCACCGCAGGGCTAAGTCACTGGCCTATGGTCGCTGCGTGGTGGAAGGAGCGTATACGATATGTGGGCCCGTATGGTGAACGTACCACAGTTGTATTTGTGCCTATATCGGCAGACACTGGTCTGGACAAGGTGCACCCGACGTGGGCGGGAACCTATATTTTGGATGCGTGTGTTTTTCTCTTCCCAGACATCAACTTTGCTCTCATCGATAGTGACTGTGTGCCAGTCACACTATTCGAGATTCAAGAGCTGTGGCTGTCATGTGCTGAGCCTGACTCCACTGAAGATGAAAGCCGACAGCCGGCAGCAATCCCGAGCAGTCCAATTGCTCCTGCACAGAAGAGAGCAAGATCAGTTGACACGGGACAAGCCACGCAACAGCAACCGGGCCCCCCTATCAAGCTGCCCAAGTCACGAAGCGTAGAGAACCTGATGGCTAGTGCTGGCAGGTCGCCAACTCCTGCCCAGACAGGAAATTTCGAGGATGAGGTTGACTTCGGGGGATCCGAGCCATCGAGCCCACACCCAACTGAAGAAGAAAAGAGCCGAAACTCCACGCCAACGGCTCAGTCGTGCCAGGGATCGACTGACAAGCGAGCTACCGCTGAAATATCAAAACCGGTGGCCACCAAAGGTATCATCCTGGTCAGTGAAGCCTTCACGGAAATCAATGCTGGACTGGTCATTGTGTTGGCATCTCGACATCGCAGCCCAATTCCAGAGTCTGACCTGGTAGACCCTGATCGTGACCCTGACGAGCTTGCCACTATTGCCAGCACTGCCTACCGTGACCATGTTGAAAGCTACCTATCGACCACCCAACCGCCTTGTGATACTGAAACTGCTGTCTCTAGTGGATTGCTAGGATCGCCGCTTCTAGGCACCGCCACTCGATGTGCGGCTGATTGGTGTCATGCTTGGAGCATATTGGGACAATGGTCAGGCTTGGTCACGTTTCCAGTGCCTGCAACGGGGCAGTGGCCTCGGCATGGGCACTTGCGAGGAATCCTTGATGGATTCCAAGGCAGACAGCCCAATTTTCATAAGTGGGCCCGGCCCGCCTATGAGCAAGGAGCCCTGCCAACACTCAGTCTCCTCCCAGGTGAAGTTGCGATTAAAGTGCTACCAGGAGACAAGATCTATCAGGCTATGGAGATTGAACCGGGCTTCATGAGGCCTGTCATATTGCATGGCTTTGGAACAAGGGCCAAGCAACGGCTACCATCGCGACTTGAGGAATTGGCGCAGTTTGGCTGGTTACCATTAGCAGCAGCCCTTTTTGGGACAGCAGAGTGGCAGCCACAATGGCTCCACCACAACTTTCTTCCGGTCATAGGCCTGCGTGTCCATGCAAAGATTCCTCCGTCTCCGCTGTCGTATCAGCAGCTAGCGGCGTTACTAGGGTTGTGGGAACGAAGACCTGCCCTGGGAACTCCTTGCCGGGCTATCGCCCAAGCTGCTGTGCTCGCATTTGGTCTCCCAACAGCCTTTCGCGCACCAGAGGAGTGGACAGCATCAGTGAAAGGAGAAGTCTTCGATCTCGTGCAGTGTTCCCAGCGGATCTATACGGGTGAGGCAGCCAACACGTCGCAAGCTCCGCATTTTCTGGTTGACCGACCGAAGAGATGGGCACAGTGGGTGTTCTCGATGAATAGCCTGTGGCAAGAGGACTCTCCTATGCCAGATCGACCTCTCACAGTACACTGCAGTGGACTGGGAGGCAGGCTGCTAAGCCCTGATCATGATTACGACCTGTTCTTCCAGAACCATGCGCAAATGAAAGTGTATGGCCCTTCGCTGGCAATGACAGATGATTGGGAGCAGCGCATCACCCAACTCGGGTTGACCAAAACAACGCATGAGTATGCAATCTACCAGCTTTTCTCCACTGCCGTGGGATGGAGTGCATGGAAGGAATTTTTGCCGGATAGATTTGCCAACCTCAAGCTCTTGATCACCCGTGCCATACGGCTACTGACTGCGGCAACCATCCGGCCAGCACATGCGAGACCTCCCCACCCCACATGGGTCACGGCAGTTCGTCAAATCATCAGATGCTACCATCCACAGGGTAAACTGCTGTTGGTGCGAGCCTGTTTTCCCCATCTTGTGACAGCTTCCATCCCAGACGGTATAAGAGACATTGATGTTCTCGGCTTTTCGGCGGGATCGTACACTGGATTGGCAATCCACAAAGTGCTCAATGAGTTCGATTGCTTCCCAGGTACCACAAAGGTTGCTGCAATTGCCACTCCGCCAGAAATGCTGAGGCTGACAACTGGGGAACGAAGAGTGGTACTTCTATATTGCCTTGAAGATCGACTCTGCGTGTGGCACCCTGCCACCCTTACAGACCTTAGCTATAATGTCGTCCTCATCGACGGTCAGCCTTCCTGGAGTGGCCGAGCACGACATGCGTATGGACATCTATTGTTTACATCAATTGAGGAAGGTACCCATCATATTGATTATCTCCAGATTACGACCCCTGAGGTCATACCACATGGGATACGGTGTGAGGGGCTCCTACGGGTGCTCTCATGGGTTAGCTTTGATCTCCCTGACCATTGCAAACGGACCCTCAGTTCACTTCTTCAGGCTGCTGGCAAGGGATGTGCTGATCTACATATGGTGCCATGGGATGACAGGGATGTCAGAGATGACCCCATTGCTACAGAGCAGGATCTGCGACAAGTCCTGATCGACATGATCCCAATTCCTGGGCAGGCGAATGCAGAAGGAGGAGAACTTATGAGAAACCTGCTAACTGAATTCCTCCGTGGCTTCCCCCTGCGCATATTGATCTTCCTGCTAGATATGGTGTTGCCTCAATTGGATGCTTACCATGCAGGTCGTCAGCTACAACACTTGTACCCTTGGACCAGTGTGGTGTTGGCGCAACGACAAGAGCGAGGTCAACCGGGAGTTGAGCTGGTGGTCCGATATGGCTATGAGGCCTTTGCGGGATTTCATGTTATGCAACTGATCACTGAATGCATTCCTCTCTTGCTCTTCAGCGACCCAAAGGCGGTTCCTTCCGCGTCACCATGGAGTCTGTGCGAAAATGGCAACTTAGGAAGCATGGAAGCCAATGTGATGGCAGGGAGAGCCCTGTTTGGGCGTTTCCAGCTCCCCGAGGGCCCACGTCGCTGTGCCATCTTCCTGGTCCAAGAAAAAGTAATGCAAGGTACTAGTCGCTCCGCGGATTCCCGTGCATACCGGCGAATTGCCCCCAAATCCCTTGAGCTAGTCCTGGTCTCCAGGCCTGTCGCGTTTGCATTTTGTGGCCGCCTCCTCGTGCAACAGCCAGCGGAAGTGGAATACTTTGACTCTGACCCAATGCGGGACTGGCCGAAACCTATTGTCTTCCACGCAAGCTTCTCAGTGGTGATGGAAGAAATGGCATTCCTTGGTGACACACGAAGCAGATGTGAATTGCTGGTTTTTGCACAGGCTAATCCGGCACGACTCCCACTGACGATGGGTATTCTTCAGCCCAACATCCCAGTGCGAAGAATGATGAGTGAACGCCGGACGAAGCTGACGGACGCGTTGGTCCGAGTGCTCTGTCGCCTACTGACACCTATTGGAGTTGCTCTCCCAGGCCCGCATGATGAATATATGCGCGACAGCCTGCTCCCTTTGGCAGCGCATGGTGATGTGCACGTCCTTACTGTGGCAGTAGCATTGCTCCTGGCGATCCTCACTGGCCGTTCTGAC